TTTTTTTTTGCATGCAAAGACATTTTCTCTGTATTATTTCGCAGGAAACTGTATTTTTAGCTTATCACATTCAGTTCATCAAGCTACAACTCACATGTGGTGAGGAATAATGATTGCATAATTTATTTATTTACAAATGTATTCACTTGTTAACATAAATAAGCAGTTGAAAAACCCACAAGAAACAAAGAAGCATGATAAAAAGTCACTTAGAATTCTTCGGTGACAAACAGTCATAACTTTCACTGCCGTCACACAGGGTCAAGCACAGTCTCATGATAATCAATCATATCCTCCAGCCTCGATGAAAGGAAACGCTAACACATGTACAGGCTCCCATATGTCCTGTTAACTTGACTTCAAAATGCCTTTCAGGACACCCTTTAACACCTGCAGTCTTCTTCACAGCCTTCAAATCCAGGCCTATGAGTTATGAGTGTGCACACAAGTACATCTGTAAGCGTACACGTGTGTGTAAGAGCTTGGCTGCTTTATTGCGCTGGCAGTAGAGTCGTTGTGTGGCACACCTAAGCTCCGCACAGGAACAGCGACAAAAGCAGCCTTTCAAAGCGTCCTGCTGAACACCGTCCAAGCCTGACTCTCAAAGCGGTCGATTCTTCACGCGCTCTCTACCCGACCTCCGAGAATAGAAGACTTCTCTATTTCCAGGATCAAGCACCTTAGAGGAGCAAGCAACATGGTTCACAAGGACTTCACAGTTTTTCTGAACCAGGTCTCAGACAGGTAATCGGTCAACTCCTCTTAACGTAATCAAGCCAATCATCTACTGGTGTGATGTGTTTTGGACGACAGTTTGCATGATTCTGAAGCTCTTCTGAGATGCGGAAGCAGGGAGGAGGGTTCATTCGTGGTCAACTATCACACTTTGAAGTACCGAAGGCATATTCAACCATATTTCACTGAACTATTCTGCCAGAGAAGATATTCTGAAGGCCAAAAATATACACAAATGTGAAAGCTTTGCTTGTGAATTACAAGGGGGTGGTCCTGTTTTTAAAACTTTACATGAGTTGTTGCATTGGCGCCAGCAAAAAAATAAAATAAAAATTGATTTACCTTCAAATGTATGTGTTCCAAAGCTAGTGTATAAGGATATTGAGGTACATTTTCAGTACATTTCAGAAAGTGTGTAACAAAGGTTAAACATAATGGCACTCGCATGATCCCCCTTAAACTGTATTATTTAGGGGAAAGAATCAAAGTCTGAAACCTACAAGCAAAACGAGCTGTAACAAGAGACATTTCAAAAATATTCTTCAATAGAACGAACCAAATAGAACAAAAAGTGACCCTCAACTACAAGGCACCAACTTTAAGAGTGTGCTTTCTACTTTTGTACCACATGAACAAAGAAAAATTAAGTCAGAATCATGTTAGTGATTTCCAGTGTTTTTCAAAGAACTTACCGGTTTTAAACCCAAGTTCTCTCCCACCTAGTTGTGAGTGGCAACAAGACTTAGGGTGCTTTCACACCTGGCCTGTTTCCCCCGTTCGTTTGGGCATATGTGAACACGACAATCGCGCTCAGATC